GCGGAGGCACCGGGGAAGGGGGACGTGACAGGGACAGACCGGGGGTACCACCAGAGTCAGCAGACTCCTCAACGGGGACAACCGACGGGAGGGGAGTGACGTGAGAGACACCAGACGGGGCAGGACGAGGCGGGAGAGGGGCAGGGGCTACCGGAGGAGAGGGAGCAAGGAACAGGGGGGGGGGAACTGGGAGACCTCGGTGAGGGAAGCGACGGTAAAAGGAGACGGACTCGTCAAAGGTAACGTCACAAGAGTGGAGGAAGCGGTGAGACGGCGGGTGATAGAAAAGCCAGTCAGACGAGTCCAGGGGGAAACCGAGGAAGACACAGGGGACAGTGTGGGCAGTGAGCTTGTCCGTGCCAGAGGCACGAACGTGAGCAAGGCAGCCCCAGACGTGGAACGCAGACGCGTCACCGGGGGACCCGGTCCAAAGAAGGGTCGGCGAAACCTGCGGCCGCTGGGAGCGTGGCCACAGGTTAAGCTGGTGAGCAGCGTAGCGAACAGCGAACGGCCACAGAAAATGGGGGGCATCGGCATGGATCATGGAGGTGCGGGCGACCTCCATGACCAAGCCGATGCGGCGCTCAGCAACCCCATTCTGCTGTGGCGAGTCCGGCAAGGTGTACGACTGGGTGATGCCCTCCGCACGACAGAACTGTCCAAGCCGACCAGAGGCGAACTCGCCGCCACAGTCGGAGTGGAGACACAACACGGGGAGACCGCGGTGGAGACGCGCAGCTACAACCCACGGGAGAAGAACGTCGGGCACGTCGGCCTTCCGCTCCAGGGGAAACACCGTGGTGTAGCGCGTGTAGTCGTCGACGAGCACAAGGAAGTAGCGCTCACCGCGCGGTCCGGGGATGGGGGCAGGGCCCCAAACGTCCAGGTGCAGGGTCTGAAGGGGGGCAGTAGCCGGGCGCAGCGAGGAGGAGTGAGGGGCACGGCGGAGCCGGCCCACGACGCAAGGCGTGCACGGTGGCGCACTCGAGGGAGGAAGGGCGGGAAGTGACACAGGGAGACCTAAGACAAGGCCGTGCTGGGACATGTGACGCAGACGAGGGAGAGCAGGGTGACCTCAGCGGTGGTGCCAGAGAAGGGACGGGTGAGTGAGAGAACGACACGAGCAAGCTGCAGCAACCTGGGAGGACGCACCAGCCGGAGGGGAAGCGGTGTCTAGGGTAAACAGACCGGACACCGGGTCCCTGGGGAACGTCGCAAGGGGGGAACCTGAGACAGCCTCAGAACAGACAGCGAACCGCTCGTGCCCGGGGAACGTGGTGGTGACGCCGAGGTCCTGGAGACAGCCGACACCAACTAGGTTCCTCGAGAATGAGGGAACGTGGAGGCCTGTAAGGGAGCCCGAGGGAACTGCTGGACAGGGAAGGGACGTAGAACTGCGAGCGACGACAAGACCCACAGAGGGGTCGGCGAGAGAGACGACAGCTGGCGTAGCAAGCGGCGTAAGTGCGGAACGGTCGCGGAAGAAGCAGGAAGAAGCACCGGAGTCGAGAGTGAAGGACAGCGCAGCAGTGGCAGGGGCGGGGAACGGAGCCGGTGCAGAGACGAGGCTAGACAAACTAGGCAGTCCTACGCCTGACGCAGCACGGGAGGCTAGGCTACACAACGGTGCAACACCTAAACTAGAGAACACAGCATAATAAGATCCAGCAACACTAGCAGCATCAGAATACATGGCATGCAAAGCAGCACCTATCTGATCCATGTCTAACTCAAAGATCGGCACGCCCTGGCAGAGCAGGCTGTGCCATTCAGGGAGGTCCGGGCCGGGCCAAAGCGACGACGAAACAGATCGTCGAGGCGGCGGAAACAGCGGGCAGTCGGGTGCGGGCGGCAGCACAGAGTGCCGCGAAGGGGCCCGGTCTGAAGCTGGTACTGACAGGTGACAGCACCGGAGCCGCTGGTAGACGCCAAGCTGCGCGGGCCGCCACCACTGCCACCACCCCCTAAGGAGCCGGGCCAACCAGGCGGGAGGCGAGCCCACTGCTGCGGGGGCTGCGGCTGGGACGGCGGCTGCTGCTGGGACGGCGGCTGCGGCGCAGGCTGCTCCTGCTGCGGCTGGGGCTGCTGCTCCTGACCACCAATGCTAGTCCCCCCAGACGGACTACTCTCACGACCACCAGCACCAGTACCTGCACCACCACCCCTACCACCCTGGCGACCACGGCCACCGCGACGCGAGCGCTGCTGCGGGTGGACCGCAGCAGCCGTCTCGGTGAGAGGGGTCGCCGTGGCGACTGCAGCCGAAACGTCAGTGAACGAGCACTGGGAGGGGGCACAGCCGTGAAAGATAGAGACTGCCGGCGCACCACTCGACTGAGCGATAGTGCGCTGGCGAGTCTCGATCTCGGTGAGGGTATCGACAAAGGCAGTGAGAGTGAGGTCAGCCAGGTGCAGGCTAAGGAAGTGATCGCGAGCTCTAGGGAGGCGGTCTGGCAGGCGCATGGCGATAAAATAGAGCGTCATGCAGAAAGGGGGGGGGAGCGCAGTGAGCTGGGCAGCAGTGCTGGCAGTGCGATAGCGGGTCTCTAGAGCACGCAGGTGAGTGGCAAAGTCTGCGACGGTAGGGAAAGCTGCAAGGTCTAGGAAAAGCATAAGGAAGAGCAGGCGACCAGCAGAAGCAAACGCGGGTGTGGAATAGCGGGCAATAACAGCGTCTAAGTAAGCTTTGGCCGTCTCAATAGTAGCAAAACGCGAGCGCTCAGAGACAGGGAGGGCATGGCTTATGGCGACCTGAGCAACTGCATCGCGGGAGTCCCAGACCGCACGGGCAAGCGCAGCAGTAGAGAAGGTCTCACGGTCATCAGAGGAGGGATCAGCAGGGAGGGGGGCAGGTACAGGGGGGCGGGGGAGCAAGCCGTCAACATGGACAACCAAAGAGTGGCCATCCTGACGCTGACATGTAAGGTGGCGGCGGAGATCGGAGAGCCAGGCGGCGAAGTCAACCGCATGGCCCTCGGCGTCCAGTCGGAGCACGAAGTCTGCCATCGTGCAGGGTCAGCGGCACAGCTCCACAGGAACACAGCTACAGCCCCCTCCAGCACAGTGGCCACGAAGCGCCTCAGCACGGGCGAGCGGAGGAGACGGAGCCCGAGGCGGCACAGCAGGACGAGCCGGGGCGAAAGGGCCAGGCAGGTACGGTGGGGCCAGGCAGGCGCGACAGGGCCAGGCAGGCGCGGCGAGCCAGTCAGGGGCGGCGGGGCCAGGAGGCACGGCGGGGCCAGAAGGCGCGGCGGGGCCAAGCAGGTGCGGCGGGGCCAGGTAGGCGCGACAGGGCCAGGCAGGCGCGGCGGGCCAGTCAGGGGCGGCGGGGCCAGGAGGCATGGCGGGGCCAGAAGGTGCGGCGGGGCCAGGCAGGTGCGGCGGGGCCAGGTAGGCGCGGCAGGGCCAGGCAGGCGCGGCGCGCCAGTCAGGGGCGGCGGGGCCAGGAGGCACGGCGGGGCCGGAAGGCGCGGCGGGGCCAGGCAGGTGCGGCGGGGCCAGGTAGGCGCGGGAGGGCCAGGCAGGCGCGGCGGGCCAGTCAGGGGCGGCGGGGCCAGGAGGCGCTGCAGGGCCAGGCAGGCGCGGCGGAGCCAGGCAGTGCGGCGGGGCCAGGCAGGCACGAGGGGCCCAGGAGGGGCGCGACGGGCTAGGAGGCGCGCTAGGGGCCCGGGAGGGGCGCGACGGGCTAGGAGGCGCGAGAGGGGCCCAGGAGGGGCGTGACGGGCTAGGTGGCGCGCCAGGGGCCCAGGAGGGGCGTGACGGGCTAGGAGGCGCGATAGGGGCCCAGGAGGGGCGCGACGGGCTAGGAGGCGCGAGTGGGGCCCAGGAGGGGCGCGACGGGCTAGGAGGCGCGATAGGGGCCCAGGAGGGACGCGACGGGCTAGGAGGCGCGGCAGGGGCCCAGGAGGGGCGCTACGGGGCCTAGGTGGGGGCGGCGCGACGGGGCCTAGGTGAAAGCGCGACGGGGCCTAGGAGGAACGGGCGGAAGGGGTAGGTGGGGGGGGTCGAACCTACGGGTGATACCATGTCGAGAAGAAAACTGAATATTTGAATAGAGGGGGAGAACAAGGGTATATACTTAAGAGTGTTGTACCCTCTAAGAGGTGACCCTATACAGGCTATACAAATATGAGTTATACATATATTTGACACCTCTACCCACCTAGCTTCTTTTAACAACTCCAATATATAATAAATTTTCATCATCAAATGCTCCGCAACCCTAAGATGATCTCGTCGCCTCTTGTTTTTTTTGCCTGACAAAACGTGCCTCACCCAAAACCCGACCCTGAAAAACAGCGTTCTCACTTGGGCGACCTGAACAATCTGAAGCCCTCATACATCCCCTTTGCTGGAAGCAGGATGACAGGCTTGCCATTCCACTCAGGCTTTTGTGCCAGACATACCGTATTCTCCCGGATACAGTACCCGCCGGATTTAAGCTCCCATAGGTGGCTTGAGCGGGTATGGGTGTTTAATTAAACTGGATCTAGTTACCACCCTACTTTTGGGCTTGAAAACAATTGAACACCCCCCGCCACTTAGAATCCTTATTTCGACAGGGAACAACAGAATTTGCCGTGCGTAAACGTGAGGGCGAGTGGGGGAAACGAGCTGGTGGTCAACCCGAATGTGTCGGAACGGAAAAAAAAAATGTCGAAACCTCAAAATCCAAATTGTTCATTCTCGACTCTCGCACCCTCCCGCTAAAACAAACCTCCGCTGCCGCCCACTGATTGGAGGCAGTAAGGACGAGGCCTGCAGCACTCGTTGATTGGCTGATTTGCCAGCCTCGTCCTTGACTTGACTAGTTTAGCCGACGATGTGGCAAGCAGAAGGGCCACACTGTAGGGTACGCGATGAGGACACGAGATGTTGACATGTGACACAAAACAAAGTGGTGTAACATGCACAACTATTTTGGAATTGAAAAACGCACTTGCACGTTCCATAGGACCATGGTCTTATATTTTTTTTGCATTTAATTCCACCTACCCCAAATTTTTCATGAATTTTTATTAGCTCCCTAGGGTACTATATCCGGGAGAAAACGGTACACATTTTCTGCCATAAATCTTTGAAGAGAATATGGCAGCATGCTGTCCTGACTCTACCCACTGGGCTGGACCATGCCAGTCCCCCAAGTGTCGGATACGGGCAACCGACGGCAATAATAACGGCAACGCGCCAGCCAGCTGCAGCAATGGCGGACTCAGAGTAGCGGTAGGAATTAAGGAGAGAAGGCGGCTGCAATAACAGTGATGTTGTAGTACAACACGAGCGTCATAGTGGTGTTGAAGTTGAAAGTGGCACCAGGAGGGATTATCACCGAGTCCTCAGGTGCACCCAGGGGAGGGAGTACCTGCCAAGAGGAATTGGAATGGAGGAGTTGAGAGACAGAATGGCAGTTGATGATTAGGTGGAGTTGGGGAAAATTGGAGGGAGGGCAGTGTGTGTGAGAGAGAGGAGCGAGGGAGGGAGGGAGGAAGGGAGGGACGAATGTCAAGAGGAGGGGGAAAGATCAAAAGAGAAAGGAGAGAGCAGGAGGGAAACATGCAGATGGATACCAAGCAGGGGAAGGAGCAAGTGAGAGGGCCTGGCAAGGAGTAAGACACTCGCCCATCTCCAAGATGACAATCTGCTCACACAATGGCGATGTGCGAGGCACGGCACGGAGGGATCTTACCCTGAACTGATAATTTTCTTTACTGTGTTTATTAGCTATGCCATATCCAATGAACTGCAGGCGGGGCATGAGGAAGTAGGGGCGAAATCTGCCATTGTAACTAAAGAAGTTGATGCTCAGGCGAGAGATGGCCCGCTGCTGACACGTGTTGGTCAGAATGACCTGAGAAGGCGTGGGAAGAGGGAAGGAGGGAGGAGGGCAACGGGAGGGGAGGGGCGGATGGGCAAGGAGAAGTGATGTGGGGAGGCAAGGGGATGGAAAGCAGAAGCTGAGGGAAAAATGAGGCATCAATTGGATGCGAGGTTGAAGGAGAGAGTTCATTCGAAGGGAGAGCAAGGGTGGGAGAGCATTATGAAGAAACAAATATACGAACAGAAGGTAGTAGGTAAGATGCGAGAAAGGCGGAGTGCGGAGGGCGGAGGGCGGAGGAAGACCTCATAAGGAAACAAGCGATCCACGATGGGAACCTGGTCATAGAGGAATGTCGTCACCACCACTGCTGTTTCAGCGCTGCCGTCCCTGCACTCTGCACGGCAGTGGGGTGGATATGGGGAGATGGGCGAGGGGATATAGGAGATATGGGAATATCGGAGTAAAGGGGGTTGGGTCATGCAGATACCGCACAAGAGCATGTGGGAAGAGGGCACAGAAAAAGACAGAAGAGCGGAAGTGAGGGCAAGGGCATTGGGGAAGGGGGGAAGGGGGAAGGGGAGAGGGGAGCAGGGAGAGGGGCTAAGGAGTGTGGGAGGCTATTGGCTTGAGGCTTCTGCCGGCCACCTGCGGGCAAAGTTGGTGGTTGTGATGGTGCTGCCACAACCGCCCCAGCACCCGAGGCTAGAACCCGATGGACGGGACGAGAGGACCCGGAGGCGCTGGCCAGTGTTGCCGTCCCCACCTGCAGCTGCATACTGCTCAGCCCCTCCCACACACTGCTGCTGTCACTGTCACCGTCAGCAACAACTGCTCCCTCATCTGCAGCAGCAGGAAGGGCAACAGCAGGAGGGGCAGGAAAAGCAGCAGCAGCAGCAGTGCAATGGAGGTCCGTACCATCACTAGAGCCTTTGTTGCTCGCTTCTCTCCCCTCCCTCCCCTTCACCCGCCCTCAGCATCTGTCCCATCCCTTCCAGCTGCCTCACCCCCACCCTCCCTTCTGCCCCCACTGCTTTTTCCACAACAAACCCAAAGTCCCCCCCTACGCCCTCTAACATCCCCCGACCTGGCGCTCCCCCCCCCAAAAGTGCCCCCCCTGCCGTCCCCGCCAGCATCAGCACCATTGCCAGAGTGAGGCAAGGCAGTGCGGGGAAAAGCGCGCGGTGGGAGAGAGCGAGCACCATGGTCAAGAGTGAGAACGAGCGCGCGGAAAGGGGCGGCTGAGATGGCACAAGTCTGCGCGGAGCAGCAGGCGGTGGGCGGCGAGGCGGCGCCGGATGAGTGGCGGGACTCGCGGAGTGGGTGAGAGTGAACGATGCTGCCAATGCGACTCGCATCCCCAGTTAGGCACGGGGTCGCTCCTTGGCCGCCAATAGTGACTCTTTCCGCGCGGAAGCTCGGTTTTGGATGTTTGAGCTTCAAGCTGCAAGGTGGGGAGAGAGGGAGTGAGGGGCTGTGTTGCTCCCTATGAGATGCGGCCAGGGGATGAATGGCCTGGCAGGGGGTGAATGGCCTGGCAGGGGGTGAATGGCCTGGCTGGGGGTGAACGGCCAGCCAGGGAAGGACCGCGGATGTGGGAAGGGAGGGTGTGTGTGATGAGTAGAATTGCTCACTCTGAGCTGCCACGAAACCATAACAGATGGGTGGGGACGGGAGTAAAGGGCATGGTTGAGGTTAGCGGTCTGAGCATCGGTGGGCGGTCTGAGCATCTGTGAGCAGTCTGAGCATCGGTGGGCGGTCTGAGCATCGGTGGGCGGTCTGAGCATCTGTGAGCAGTCTGAGCATCGGTGGGCGGTCTGAGCATCTGTGAGCAGTCTGAGCATCGCGAGGACAAGTGGGGATGTGTGACCTGCCAAGGAAGGAACGACCAGTGGAGACGGGAGAGACCGAGTGGAACAGCAGTGCACACTTGGGGCAGCTTCCGGGGGGGAGCAAGGAGGTGTGGGATGGAGGCGACAGGGTTTCAAGGCAGCGGGGTTCACGCAAGGCACCGCAGATCCCAGTGGGGGGGGGTTGGCATGCCAAGGGGGGAATGACCTGGGGTGGGGAGAGATAGGGACTGACGTGCATGGGTGCAGTCAAGGGGCGTACCATTTTGCGAAGGAAACGAAAGATTTGTATGGAACGGATGCAGGAACGAGGAATCAGAAGTAGGATGAAGCAAAACGGAGGAAAAACGGAATGAAGGACAGAAAGCGGAAAAAGTGCCCATGGAAAAGCAGGAACGCCCAACTCTCTGCCTCCTAATTGCGTTGCTCTCTCCCCCCTAATCGCCTGAAACTTTGAACGATCTACCGGCATTGTCGAAATGAGTTGCAGCTGCTCAAATCGACCTTGCTGCTACGTCGAAATGGGCCCTTAAAGCCATCGCACAGAATGGTTGAAATCAACTTCAAAATTCTTGCAGTTGAATTCGTCAAACGACAGGGTTACCCTTTAAAGGTGACGACACCCTCGCCACCCGCAGAAATGAGAAAGCTGTGCTGTGAAGCTGCTGACTGGCCGGATCTAAAGGGGTTGGCATTCGCCACCAACCTCGCACAAGAAGCAACTGTTCACAGCTCCGCACACCACTCTGTACCAAAGGGAATGGGTCAACTTCAGCGTAGAACCCAGCTCCCGCGCGCCACAACTTACGTGCAGAGCGTGTCGGGAGGGACATAACATGCTACAAGATGATGCGACCCAAACACTTTTCTTATCCGCATGTCTGCAGGGGGAGGGGGGGAGGGGGAGTATAACGCCTCGCTACCCACTGGGTCAAAACGAGGTTACCCGAGGGGTGCAGCGGAATTGCACCTTCACATCTCAGGTACGTTATACTCGTCCCCCCCTGGCGCCAACGTCCTCGTTGGCTCAGGGAGTCGGCCCCCACAAGGACCTCATACAGTTCGCTGGACGCACAACGAACTCACTGGTGCTTCAGGCCAATTCTACAGGATCGTTCGTTGGGTTCGCAACTGGTTACCACATTCGAGTTCTTGCCTTTCGAGCGGATAACGCAACCAACTAGGAATCGAACCCTAGGCTCTGATTTCAGTATAACGCCTCGCTACCCACTGGGTCAAAACGAGGTTACCAGAGGGGCGCAGTGGAATTGCACCTTCACATCTCAAGTACGTTACAGGGAGGGGGGGAGGGATAGCAGGATGGCGGAAGGGGGAGGGAATGGGGGTGGCGCCCTGCTCCACGCGGCGACGGGCTACGTTCTGCCCATCCGCGGGGCAAGGGCGAGGCGCCCTGCTTCACGCGGCAAGTCCGCTACCCCGGCGCACCGACCGATGCCCTCCCGCATGGAGTCCACTCAACCCAAGCCCGCCAAGAACGAGACGCCCTCACGCCTATCCTGCGCAGCCCTCGCGCGCAGCCCGCCATGCCCTCACTCACGCCAAGCCGTGCACGCCAGTCCTTGCGCCGAGCGCGGACTGACACCGCGACTAGGCCTGACCGTAAACGCGCCTATCCCGCATTCCCCGCTGCGCCCACCTGGCTTTGCCCGCCAGCCCGTTGAGATAGGGCCGTAGGGAACTCGGGTGACCGACCGGATGGGGGACACAGGGCGAGGGGGAGCGCAATATATTTTGACAATTCTCAACAACGAAAGAGGGTGGGGGAGATAGGGAGCGCTGGGAGTGGCGAGAGGGGGGAACAGACAATGTGGGGCGACGGCGGAATGTGGGGATATGAGCGCGGGCGGAACATGGGGATGGTTGAGCGAGGGCGGAATGTGGGGATGGTTGCGCGAGGGCGGAATGTGGGGATGGTTGCGCGAGGGCGGAATGTGGGGATGGTTGCGCGAGGGCGGAATGTGGGGATGGTTGCGCGAGGGCGGAATGTGGGGATGGTTGCGCGAGGGCGGGATGGGGACCTTGGAGTGCGCTAGTAATGCTGGACATCCGCCGGTGGTTTTTTCGCCGCGCGCAGGTTTTCCTGATGGGGCTGTGCTCGGCGGACGTCACCTGTGCGTGACTCGCGGCCTGACGGATGCACCGTGCTACAGCACCTGCCGCTATTCCCCGTTGGCGTGCCTGTTGGATTGCTGGTACTTCCTTCTGCTGCCGCATTGGGGGTACTTTCTGATACGACTTAGTAGTTAGGAAATGGGCTGTAGTCCTAACTGTCCTAGCACCAAGGTCAAAATAAATGACAAGGCTTCCGCATAACTTGGCAGAAGACTACCGAGGAGGATGTTGGGAGACAAAATCCTTCACAAAACCGAACCATAGCTATCCTCGCTACTAAAATATTCTTTTTTGCATCCAGGAAATTTGTAGCACAAGTTCCCCGCATTTCCACAGTGCATACATGTCCATTCCAACCAAAGAAAAAATTGGTCACCACCTAAGCAACCCCTTGACGTTTGCAGATGGTACTACTCTTGCATACATGAAATTCACATTGGTGTACACATGAGCTCGAACACCCTCCTACTGATGGCAGCACCAACAGCCTTCCCCTTCACGTGTACGCCACACAACAGCCGCTCATGCGCCTCCAGGTCGCCCTCCTGCCATGAAAGTCAAAGATCCATGGGTGGGGGATGAGGCGAGGCAAGGGGGAGCGCAGATGAGAAGGTTCGAGGAGGTGCGTGGGGGGCATGTGATGAGGGAAGGGGGGAAAAAGGGGGAACGGGCAGATGGGAGGGAACCAGGTATCACCCGCAGCCTTGCCCTACACGTGCACTTTGGCATACAGCAGCCGCTCATCTGCCACCCTGCCGCCTTGCTGGCATCAGAGTGAGAGGCAACAAGGAGGGGGTTGATTTGGGGGCACGGGGTGGGGGATGAAGGGAGACAATAGGGATGGTAGTGAGAAGGAGCGAGGCAGCATGGACCGCCGTCTTCTTTACGTGCACGCCACCCAGCAGCCTCTCGTGTGCCTCTTGTGCGCCTCTCGTGCGCCTCTCGTGCGCCTCTCGTAAGCCTCTCGTGTGCCTCTCGTGTGCCTCTTGTGCGCCTCTCGTACGCCTCTCGTGTGCCTCTCATGCGCCTCTCATGTGCCTCTCGTGCGCCTCTCGTGTGCCTCTCGTGTGCCTCTCGTGTGCCTCTCGTGTGCCTCCCTCTCACCCTCCTGAGCATGTGGGTGAGACGCAAGGGCCCACTAAGAGCGGGTTTAGTGAGGGGCATGAGAATAAGAACAAAGGGAGATAAGAGAAAGGGCAAGCCGAGTCAGCTGGGTGCAGACGAGTCAGCTGGGTGCAGAGGAGTCAGCTGGCTGCAGGGGGGGGCAGGAGAGGGGCAAGTGGACGAGATGATGGATGATAAGCGGATAACATAAGGAGGGTGCATCAACACACTTAGCAAACAGAAAACTAGCAAACAGTCAGCAATGCACCATTAGTTGCAATAAGAGCAGCAAGCAGAGAAGAACAAGGAAGGCAGGCCACACCAGAAAGGCATAGGCAGAGTGGAGGGTGTGCAGGGAGGGGTAGCGGTGCAGGATGGCAGAGGCCATGTCCACTGTCAGGCCCCGTATCTGGTGGCACAAGGGAGTAGGGTGCGGTAGGAGTGGGTAGGGTGTGGTATGCGGCGGTAGGATGTGGCATCGGCCTTCTCCACGCATAGTGTCCGGGGAGGGGCAGCGGCGCAAAATGGCAGAGGCCATGGTGACTGTTTGACCGTGCAGCTGGGAGGACAAGGCAACACGACAAGGAGGGATACGAGCGGCAGTATGGGTGGTAATGGGGAGTCTTTCCGCTAGGATGCCAGAGGCCTCGCACTGCAGCAGCGTGTGTCCAGTTGGACCAAACACGAACAACTCACCTTCAGCAGCAAGTGAAGGAGCAGCAAACGCACCTGCAGGCATCTGCTGCCAACCAACCTGCAGCAGCATGTGGCCGAACACATCCTCGACTGCAGCAGACACACCTGCCGCAGCAGCAGGTGAGTGAAGGTGCAGCAAACGCACCTGCAGCAGCAAGTGGCCGAAGACATCCCTGACTGTGA